TGTAGAGTGTGTTCAGATTAGATATATAAAATAAAACGTGTTTGTGTTTCATAAAATCGCCATATTTTCAAGATGAATGCGTTGTCGTTTATAGTTATTATTTTAATATTTGCCGTTGGTAGCGAGTATGATGTTGCTATTATTTTGTGCTGCACCGCGAGTAATCATATCTGCTACGTTATCAATAGGGTTCGTGTGTGCCTGGTGACAGACCAACAGAGAATTGTGAGGCGAGAATCGATAGTTTTCAATTCATTGCACCAGAAAGCCAACAAAGTTAGTTACACATTTGGCTTAAAAGGCGAAAATAACCAAAGATGTCGTGTGCCGATGTGCAGCAAAAACATATCCACGATATTGTTATTGTCAATGTTAAGTTTACCCGGGCTGAATTTTGGACACCAAAATTGAAGACATTCAAGATCTTTTGATCGGTAACATATTTGTTAACTTTCATATTTGTTAACTATATAACTACGAAACGGAAGTCGTGGAAAGCTGAAAATCTCATGACCCCGATAATAGGACAGAGCTCAGTGAGTAGGGCGCTGGCTCACTAATCAGAAGGTTCGGGGTTTGATCCCCGTGTTGACCTTGAAAGTTCCCCAAACCCTGTGTGGTATGGAAGGGTATCGCTGCCAATATTAAATGCTCTGCTACAATGTCTTTTCTATTGATTATATGTAAAAAGTACAATGTACAAAGTCCTAATACCGGTAATGATAAAGTCAAAATACCTCTAAGGCAAGAGTTAAATGTAAAATGTTAAGTGTTAAATGACAAATGTTTTGTGGGAAAATGCTTTTTTTGACGTGTCAACATTTTACATTTCTCTCATTACATTTTACATTTGCTCTCTGCCACATCCCATTTGTCCATCACGCATTCTACATAGCATGTTTCGCGCAGCCATAGGCGTACGAGCCAGGGGAGCAGGGGGGGGGGGGCAGCTGCCCCCCTAACTTTCGGGCAAGCTGACTTTTCGGGCAGACGGGTAAAGTGAAAAAAAAAAATTATTTCATCTACTTGGCAAAATAAAGTGCCCGGAATCTAATAAATCACTAATTTTACGGGCTGGAATAGCAGTGAAACGCGTTTGCGGCCGTCAAATATTCCAAAAAATTTCTTGGGGGGTCTTACAAGGTCAGCTCCGCTTCTTCGCCTCTCGAAGAAAACCGGCGCCGCTGTCTGTAAACCTGAAATTTTTTAGGGCATTTCTAGTTTTGCTTCCCTAACTGTCATCGAGCCTTAATAAAACACTGATTTTACTTAGCTTTTAATTGAATACCACGAATTTGTACTGAGTGACTATGGATTAAAACATTTTGTCTGGAGCCGCTCTACTTTGTGCGACATTTTTCGGGCATCGATTATTATTATTCAGACTGGTATTTCGGTTACAAAATCATTGGATACTTTTGGAGTTGCTTACACGAGCTAGAATAGCAGAAAATGCATATGCGGTGGTTAAATTTTCAAAAATTTCTCTGTGAGGGTGAGGCCCCCATACCCCGCGACGATTGATTGGTTGTTTGGAATTCGGATCAGCCAGGTGGGCTATATTGGACCAAATTGAAGTTCCGTCTTCGTGGACTGTAAACGATTGATCTTTTGATTGGAATTCATATCAGCCATCTTAATTAGGCTATAATAGACCACTTTGAAGTGGCAGGAAAACGTGTTTGCACACATCAAATATTCCAAAATTTTCTTGAGGGTTGGGGGGACTCTTAAGAATTTATCTTTTTTCGTTTTAGATGATGATGATTTTTACAAAAAAATTTATTCAATCTGTGAATTATGTTATAAATAAATGTACATTGTATTGTTAAAAAAATGTTATTCAATCTGTGAATTATGTATTAAATAAATGTATTGTTAAAATAAATTTTATTTAAATCGTTGGTATTTTTTTTATTATAATAAAATATATTTATAATTCAATTGGCATTGTGTGCTATCTGGAAACCCGAAATTTTTTCGAGCATTTCGGGTTCTGTCCCCCTAACTGTCATCAAGCCCGTACGCCTATGCGCACAGCATCAACTTGCATATGCAAATGTAGGATATCACGTGACTTATTAACATATTTGTTATCAAATTACACAATTATAGATACAGTTTCAGTTTAAATAACTTGTAAATTGGCCTTCTGAACTAAACGTTTACAGCTACCTGTAGTAAAATACTGTACTACTGGCTCATCAGAGTAGCCACCGAGCCCATAATTTTTGGGTAAACACCCTCCCTCGCAGGCCCCTGGGAACCCATTAACAATATAAATATTGGGCTTGTGTGCCCCCACATGATCTTGTGCGTCATACAGCATCAGCAGTCAACACGCACCTGAAATACTATTATGCAAACATTTGACAGAAAGGGAGATAACTCTCTATTTCCCTTAATGGAGGCAGACCACCATTAACACTCTGTCTCTTTTCTCACCTTTTGCATGCCCATTCTTGTTGATTTTTTGTTCTAGAATGGATGAAGACGATTTGAATTAACATTTTCTGCCAGGGTTTGGTAAATATTCATGATTTTGAGGCGGAAGGATAACAGGGTTATCAGGTTGGCTACGGTGATATGTACAGCAACTAGTTACATGTTTTTAGTATGCTTCTTCAAGTTTGTGCATGTCAACCCCATACAAATTCTAATGCAAAGACATGACCATTTGTTCCTCTGTCTGTAGTGAAAAGCATTCAGCCCAACGAAAATTTGGGGAAAGGTTGGGGGTGGGCAAAGAGGCCAGAATTAACATTGAAGTCAATGGGGAAATTATTAATGGTGGTCTGCCTCCTAATGGATTTCCATAATTCTGTCCTAGTCCATTATGTTTTTCTGCATTTTGGTTTAAATCAAAATTTAACCAATACCATATTATTTGCTGAGGCTGAAGGCATTGGGTGTTTTCGCTAATGTTTAATTTGATGTCAACTGCACATTTTGTTAGTATAAATATAGCATTTACTTGACAATTATCACAAGTGTGTGCAAACATTTTGCTGGGAAGTCTCGAGATTTGTGTTCTTGGTGTTATAAGCTTTCTCAAAATGTATAGATTGTTTAGTAGGTAGGAACTTGTTGCGGAATTGTGTTTCTAAGCAAGCTAGAAATTTTGGCTGCGAGCCTATAAGGTTACAACATAACGAAATTTGTAACCCATGCTGTCTATGGTGCGAAATTTTCGTCATAATTCTAACTCCTAACCTAGTAGTACTTATGCTATATGCAGTTTAATTTCTATGCATGTAACTTCACATTTAAGCATGTTAAATTGGCTATGTAAAAATGCTAAATAATATGACATAGGCTGCGAGCCTATAAGGTTACAACATAACGAAATTTGTAACCCATGCTGTCTATGGTGCGAAATTTTCGTCATAATTCTAACTCCTAACCTAGTAGTACTTATGCTATATGCAGTTTAATTTCTATGCATGTAATTTCACATTTAAGCATGTTAAATTGGCTATGTAAAAATGCTAATTAATATGACATTTCTTACATGATTGCAGTTAGAATTTGCATTTTGTTCTACTTCCATTATTGCTTTTAATTTACTGTAGTCAGTTTAGTTTGGTTAACATTTTGACATTTCACAATTGTTATGCGGTAAAGGCATCATAATTCTAAGCTCACTTTGGTAGCACATGGTGCTGTTTACAATTATATGGTGGCTCATTGAGGACACCTGACCCAACAGACATGACATTTTTCTGTCAAAATTAATAAAATATTTTATGTACATAAGCAAACTATTCTAGATATATTTTTTAGATAAATAAATACACTATATTTTGTCATGCATTTGCCCTAATACTGCCATTTCGATTCATTTGGCGTATTTTTTTTCTAAAAGAATGAAAATATATTTAGCAAGAACTCATTAAGTCATGTATGAAAGTGAAAGTTCTCTTAGATTTTCCAGTGTATCTTGCCCTTCTCAGTGGTGCAAGACAGATGGACTGGTAGGGGCTAGGGGTAGTGTCTAGTTGTTCGGGTTTTAAGAAAAAACGCTGGCATGTACGTAAAAGAAACCCTGTAATTCAAAATAAAAGTACGCCGTAGCACCGCTTTCTGGGCAAAATCTCCACTGTATGGCGTAAACCCGTCTTCATTAGCCCAGTCTGCTTTGTGAGCACAACGGTAAACCGCACGGGGTATTTTTTATTACATCTGGGGCCTGTTTCACGAAGTTTTAACTAAGATAAAATCCAAATTTTAGTAATTTGATTGGATAATATTACATTGATTTTAGTGCTTAGCCAATCAAAATTGAAGTATCTACTAAAATTTGAATTTTATCTTTAGTTAAAATAGTGGGGAAAATGGGGATCGTCTAGTCGTTTGGATGGTTCGACAAACCCGAGGTCCCATGTACACATTGGCATGCACGTTAAAGAGTCAATGACAGATGGAATTCGAAATTAGAGTAGGTCGCGGTGCTGCTTTTTGAACAAAATTTCCCTCATAGCACGGCTAAGTGGGTAAGACGCTAGCTCGCTAGCCTGGAGGTCGGGTGTTCGATCCCTGCATTGGCCGAGAAAGTTCATCCAGATTTTCCGGCGTGGTTTCCCCTTGTCAGTGATGCAGGACGGAGGGCCTGACAAGGAAAGCTGTCTAGTCGTTCGGATGGAACGAAAAACCGAGGTCCCGTGCACACATTGGCGTGCAAGTAAAAGATCCCTTGGCAGTTGGAATTCGATATAAGAGTAGGCCGTAGTGCCGCTGTCCGGGCAAAATTTCCCTCATAGCACACTGTATGGCGTATGCCCGTCTTCATTAGCCCAGGTTAGGAGCAGAACAGTAGGACGTTAAACTCCATTTCATTTCCCTCATATCACTCTGCATGGCCGTCTTCATTAGCCCAATCGTCGCAGAACAGTAGGACATTCAACCCCATTCTGTTTCTTTTTGACATATCATAAAGAACCTCTAGAAATTGATAACAATTAAAAATGACGATGAAAGTTTATTTATTGAACTTATGGTTGTTTTTTTTTTCTTTTCAGATTATAAATATTACTTTCTTGTAGACGGGTTGCAATTAGCATCAGCCGGCTGTTCACATCTTGAGTCCTGAACACTCCAGTGTAGTCCACTAGCGCAGGTTTGTTCAACTAGAACTCCGTTGGAACATTGTAGAAATTTGGTACAGTCAGTCGAATGTGGACGCAATTCCTCATTTGTACAAGCTAAGAAATAACAGAAACCAATTTATGTTTGTTAATTTTTTTTTGGCTTTCAAACGTGAACGAATATTAATGCCATAAATTCAAATCTTCCTTTTTTTTTAATTAAAGCAATTTACTAAAAACGTCAAAACATAATTATTACAATATCAACTGTTGTCAAATCACTATTGTACAATCATAGGAATCATATCTAGCGCTTAAAAACGTACATTCACATAAAAAATTTCACTGGAAAACTAAGTCTAGGTACGTCGGAGTTGTCTTTTCTTATTTTAATAATAATCTTTATTCGAAATCTTCATCAGAAGATACATGAATATACATATTAATACAGTTAAACATGCCAATCAATCTTTTCATCAATCATTTACCTACAGCTATTTACATATAATTTATCATCAATAAGCATTAATTTAATATAATTTATATAAATTTATATAATGTTATTAAGTTTGTACCTTGAACATTAAATAAACCTTTCATTTTATGGATTGAGGGAGATCTGTCATAAAAATGAGTTAAATATAAAGCCCTTAAGGAAAAAAGACCATTTGAATATATAGTGATATTCATCAACAACTTCATTATGATCTCATAATGTACAGATTCTATTGTCTTTAAGTATAGGTTTGTAAATGATTGTCAACGCCTGTGGTCAAATAGATATAAACAACGATGTCTGGTTGGCTAAGACAACCTGCACATGTCATGTTATTGGGCTAAATCGTTTTGTTAAGGCCAGCTCAATTTTAGTCAAGGTCTTTGAGATGTCAATAAGGTTAGCGCACGTGATTGTATGCGAGATTGTAGGTTAGGGTCATGTTCCTGAAGCAACGGTATAATAGTTTTATAACTATTATCCGTTGCTTACGCAGCACCATATTCTCGTCACTTATGAGTAATAACCTCCCTTTGCGGAACCTACGTCACTATTCGATTTGTCCAATTAGCTACCTCGTAACATATGGAGCAGCGGTAGTGATTTAAAAATGGCGACCTCCATAGATTCTACATTTTCACTAATTAAAAACAAGTTTAAAATTGAATGTTTAAGCGAAAACCAGAAAAAATAAATACAGGCAGTTCTCGACAAGAAAGATGTTTTCATCTGTACAAAAACTGGAAGCGGTAAATCGCTTTCTTATGAATCTGTCCCGGTTATAGTGTCAGATCCAGTTTGTGTGCTCATCATCGCGCCTCTCAATTCTATCATGGACGAACAGAAGAAAAAATTAGAAGGTTTCGGCTTTCGATGCGCAGTGATCCACAGTGGGCAGGAAGATATCGACGTAAAAGCAGTAAAGTTTATTTTTACAAGCCCAGAAATAGCTGTAGGAGATACCAAACTTCGAAAACAGTTCTATACTATCGTCGGTTTTTTACTCCAATAATTCCACTACATATTCGACAAAACGTGATACGATCGGCCATGATGGAATGTTGACAGCCTTTGTCTCCTTTGACCTTTGTGACTCGATTAACATAAATAGGGGTTTCTACTGGAGATCAAGCGTTTGGTTATTCGAATATTTCACGGAAAATTTTGTTTCAAGGAGTCTCAATGGCTACTGGAATATCCCTTCTACCAATCAAAATTAGTGACGAGAATAGTGGGCTGTGAAAGCAACGGATAATAGTTATAAAACTAGTATACCGTTGCTTCAGGAACATGGGTTAGGGTAAGCAATGGGGCTAGGTCCAGGGTTAGGGTTCGGATTAGCACTAGCCCTGTTTACATCTCCTAATTTTTGACGAAAAATTGAGCTGGCCTTATCCACCTAGCACTCACCATCAATATGGCGATATTAACCTCCATGCATATTTCAAAATATACAAGAAAATCAATAACACACAATGAATCTATTTATTGTGTAATATATAAAATTACTCACTCTCGGAAGAAGTTGTACATCCAGCATCAGCCGGCTGTTCACATCTTGAGTCCTGAACACTCCAGTGTAGTCCACTAGCGCAGGTTTGTTCAACTTGAACTCCGTTGGAACATTGTAGAAATTTGGTACAGTCAGTCGAATGTGGACGCAATTCCTCATTTGTACAAGCTAAATAATAACAGAAACCAATTTATGTTTGTTAATTTTTTTTTGCTTTGAAACGTGAACGAATATTAATGTTATAATTTCTAATCTTCCTTTTTTTTTATTAAAGCAATTTACTAAAACAGTCAAAACATAATTATCACAATATCAACTGTTGTCAAATCACTATTGTACAATCATAGGAATCATATTTAGCGCTTAAAAACATTCACATCAAACATTTCACTGGAAAACTAAGTCTTGGTACGTCGGAGTTGTCTTTTCTTATTTTAATAATAATAATCTTTATTCGAAATCTTCATCAGCCCTGTTTACATCTCGTAACCTTTGACTAAAAATTGAGCTGGCCTTATCATTTAGCACTAACCATCAATATTGCGATATTAACCTCCATGCATATTTCAAAATATACAAGAAAATCAATAACACACAATGAATCTATTTATTGTGTAATATATAAAATTACTCACTTTCGGAAGAAGTTGTACATCCAGCATCAGCCGGCTGTTCACATCTTGAGTCCTGAACACTCCAGTGTAGTCCACTAGCGCAGGTTTGTTCAACTAGAACTCCGTTGGAACATTGTAGATATTTGGTACAGTCAGTCGAATGTGGACGAAATTCCTCATTTGTACAAGCTAAGAAATAACAGAAACCAATTTAATATGTTTGTTAATTTTTTTTTTGCTTTCAAACGTGAACGAATATTAATGCCATAAATTCAAATCTTCCTTTTTTTTTTTAATTAAAGCAATTTACTAAAAACGTCAAAACATAATTATTACAATATCAACTGTTGTCAAATCACTATTGTACAATCATAGGAATCATATCTAGGGCTTAAAAACGTACATTCACATCAAAAATTTCACTGGAAAACTAAGTCTAGGTACGTCGGAGTTGTCTTTTCTTATTTTAATAATAATCTTTATTCGAAATCTTCATCAGAAGATACATGAATATACATATTAATACAGTTAAACATGCCAATCAATCTTTTCATCAATCATTTACCTACAGCTATTTACATATAATTTATCATCAATAAGCATTAGTTTAATATAATTTATATAAATTTATATAATGTTATTAAGTTTGTACCTTGAACATTAAATAAACCTTTCATTTTATGGATTGAGGGAGATCTGTCATAAAAATGAGTTAAATATAAAGCCCTTAAGGAAAAAAGACCATTTGAATATATAGTGATATTCATCAACAACTTCATTATGATCTCATAATGTACAGATTCTATTGTCTTTAAGTATAGGTTTGTAAATGATTGTCAACGCCTGTGGTCAAATAGATATAAACAACGATGTCTGGTTGGCTAAGACAACCTGCACATGTCATGTTATTGGGCTAAATCTTTTTGTTAAGGCCAGCTCAATTTTAGTCAAGGTCTTTGAGATGTAAATAAGGTTAGCGCACGTGATTGTATGCGAGATTGTAGGTTAGGGTAAGCATTGGGGCTAGATCCAGAGTTAGGGTTCGGATTAGCACTAGCCCTGTTTACATCTCCTAATTTTTGACGAAAAATTGAGCTGGCCTTATCCACCTAGCACTAACCATCAATATTGCGATATTAACCTCCATGCATATTTCACTAGCGGCTGCCAGGCAGGATACGCCCACATTTTCGAGAGATTGATAGAGAACAAGCTAACAAGAAAGTGATTTTTCCTACAATCAAGGGCCATAATTCAGGAAATTACAATTCGATATGCGGGAATATCGAAATGAACTGAGATCTTTGTGTTATAAACTTACATTTCAAGTTTCAACAAAATCGGATAAAAATTGTGACCTCTATAGGGTCCACAACCATGATATACCATATTTTTACGCTATTTGAGAACAAACGGCGGCCATTTTGTCTGTCAATTTTGGGCCGATTTTCACAAAATTTTGAACTCAGCTGTCCTTAGGGTGTAACGGTGATATAATAATACGGTTTTTTAAATTGGATAAAAAATTATGACCTCTATAGGGCCCACAAGCTAACAACGTGATTTTTTGTACAATCAGGGGCCATGCGCGAATATCGAAAGGAACTGAGATCTTTGTGTTATAAACTTACATTTCAAGTTTCAACAAAATCGGATAAAAATTGTGACCTCTATAGGGTCCACAACCTTGATATACCATAATTTGACGCTATTTGAGTACGAACAGCGGCCATTTTGTCTGTCAATTTTGGGCTGATTTTCACGAAATTCAAACTCAGTCGTCCTTAGGGTGTAACGGTGATATAATAATACAGTTTTTTAATCGGATAAAAATTATGACCTCTATAGGGTCCACAAGCTAAAAACGCGATTTTTCGTAACAAGCTTACAAGAAAGTGATTTTTCCTACAATCAAGGGCCATAATTCAGGAAATTACAATTCGATATGCGGGAATATCGAAAGGAACTGATAAAATCGGATAAAAATTGTGACCTCTATAGGGTCCACAACCTTGATATACCATTATATAAATTTATATAATTTTATCAAGTTTGTACCTTGAACATTAAATAAACCTTTCATTTTATGGGTTGAGGGAGATCTGTCATAAAAATGAGTTAAATATAAAGCCCTTATGGAAAAAAAGACCATTTGAATATATAGTGATATTCATCACCAACTTTATTATGATCACATAATGTACAGAAGATTCTATTGTCTTTAAGAATGTGTTTTTAAATGATTGTCAACGCCTGTGGCCAAATAGACACACTCGGCAAACCTTGGCAGATACCGGTACCCTACATCTAGCCTCGGCTGTATGACAGTAAGTGATATGTACCTACGCCTATACATTTGCGATGCGGCACCGGTTTACTTATAAGGGAAACTTGCCCGCGTTTAGAAAGAAGTTCTCAAAATTGCGTCGTTCGAAGAGTGTGTAGAATTTTCAGTGCAAATTTGTCCTTGAATCTATTTATTGTGTAATATATAAAATTACTCACTCTCGGAAGAAGTTGTACATCCAGCATCAGCCGGCTGTTCACATCTTGAGTCCTGAACACTCCAGTGTAGTCCACTAGCGCAGGTTTGTTCAACTAGAACTCCGTTGGAACATTGTAGAAATTTGTTACAGTCAGTCGAATGTGGACGCAATTCCTCATTTGTACAAGCTAAGAAATAACAGAAACCAATTTATGTTTGTTCATTTTTTTTTGGGCTTTCAAACGTGAACGAATATTAATGCCATAAATTCAAACCTTCCTTTTTTTTTAATTAAAGCAATTTACTAAAAACGTCAAAACATAATTATTACAATATCAACTGTTGTCAAATCACTATTGTACAATCATAGGAATCATATCTAGCGCTTAAAAACGTACATTCACATCAAAAATTTCACTGGAAAACTAAGTCTAGGTACGTCGGAGTTGTCTTTTCTTATTTTAATAATAATCTTTATTCGAAATCTTCATCAGGAGATACATGAAAATACATATTAATACAGTTAAACATGCCAATCAATCTTTTCATCAATCATTTACCTACAGCTATTTACATATAATTTATCATCAATAAGCATTAATTTAATATAATTTATATAAATTTATATAATGTTATTAAGTTTGTACCTTGAACATTAAATAAACCTTTCATTTTATGGATTGAGGGAGATCTGTCATAAAAATGAGTTAAATATAAAGCCCTTAAGGAAAAAAGACCATATGAATATATAGTGATATTCATCAACAACTTCATTATGATCTCATAATGTACAGATTCTATTGTCTTTAAGTATAGGTTTGTAAATGATTGTCAACGCCTGTGGTCAAATAGATATAAACAACGATGTCTGGTTGGCTAAGACAACCTGCACATGTCATGTTATTGGGCTAAATCTCTTTGTTAAGGCCAGCTCAATTTTAGTCAAGGTCTTTGAGATGTAAATAAGGTTAGCGCACGTGATTGTATGCGAGATTGTAGGTTAGGGTAAGCATTGCGGCTAGGTCCAGGGTTAGGGTTCGGATTAGCACTAGCCCTGTTTACATCTCCCAATTTTTGACGAAAAATTGAGCTGGCCTTATCCACCTAGCACTAACCATCAATATTGCGATATTAACCTCCATGCATATTTCAAAATATACAAGAAAATCAATAACACACAATGAATCTATTTATTGTGTAATATATAAAATTACTCACTTTCGGAAGAAGTTGTACATCCAGCATCAGCCGGCTGTTCACATCTTGAGTCCTGAACACTCCAGTGTAGTCCACTAGCGCAGGTTTGTTCAACTAGAACTCCGTTGGAACATTGTAGAAATTTAGTGCAGTCAGTCGAATGTGGACGCAATTCCTCATTTGTACAAGCTAAATAATAACAGAAACCAATTTATGTTTGTTAATTTTTTTTTGCTTTGAAACGTGAACGAATATTAATGTTATAATTTCTAATCTTCCTTTTTTTATTAAAGCAATTTACTAAAACAGTCAAAACATAATTATCACAATATCAACTGTTGTCAAATCACTATTGTACAATCATAGGAATCATATCTAGCGCTTAAAAACATTCACATCAAACATTTCACTGGAAAACTAAGTCTTGGTACGTCGGAGTTGTCTTTTCTTATTTTAATAATAATAATCTTTATTCGAAATCTTCATCAGCCCTGTTTACATCTCGTAACCTTTGACTAAAAATTGAGCTGGCCTTATCATTTAGCACTAACCGTCAATATGGCGATATTAACCTCCATGCATATTTCAAAATATACAAGAAAATCAATAACACACAATGAATCTATTTATTGTGTAATATATAAAATTACTCACTCTCGGAAGAAGTTGTACATCCAGCATCAGCCGGCTGTTCACATCTTGAGTCCTGAACACTCCAGTGTAGTCCACTAGCGCAGGTTTGTTCAACTAGAACTCCGTTGGAACATTGTAGAAATTTGGTACAGTCAGTCGAATGTGGACGCAATTCCTCATTTGTACAAGCTAAATAATAACAGAAACCAATTTATGTTTGTTAATTTTTTTTTGCTTTGAAACGTGAACGAATATTAATGCCATAATTTCTAATCTTCCTTTTTTTATTAAAGCAATTTACTAAAACAGTCAAAACATAATTATCACAATATCAACTGTTGTCAAATCACTATTGTACAATCATAGGAATCATATCTAGCGCTTAAAAACATTCACATCAAACATTTCACTGGAAAACTAAGTCTTGGTACGTCGGAGTTGTCTTTTCTTATTTTAATAATAATAATCTTTATTCGAAATCTTCATCAGCCCTGTTTACATCTCGTAACCTTTGACTAAAAATTGAGCTGGCCTTATCATTTAGCACTAATCATCAATATTGCGATATTAACCTCCATGCATATTTCAAAATATACAAGAAAATCAATAACACACAATGAATCTATTTATTGTGTAATATATAAAATTACTCACTCTCGGAAGAAGTTGTACATCCAGCATCAGCCGGCTGTTCACATCTTGAGTCCTGAACACTCCAGTGTAGTCCACTAGCGCAGGTTTGTTCAACTAGAACTCCGTTGGAACATTGTAGATATTTGGTACAGTCAGTCGAATGTGGACGAAATTCCTCATTTGTACAAGCTAAGAAATAACAGAAACCAATTTAATATGTTTGTTAATTTTTTTTTTGCTTTCAAACGTGAACGAATATTAATGCCATAAATTCAAATCTTCCTTTTTTTTTTAATTAAAGCAATTTACTAAAAACGTCAAAACATAATTATTACAATATCAACTGTTGTCAAATCACTATTGTACAATCATAGGAATCATATCTAGGGCTTAAAAACGTACATTCACATCAAAAATTTCACTGGAAAACTAAGTCTAGGTACGTCGGAGTTGTCTTTTCTTATTTTAATAATAATCTTTATTCGAAATCTTCATCAGAAGATACATGAATATACATATTAATACAGTTAAACATGCCAATCAATCTTTTCATCAATCATTTACCTACAGCTATTTACATATAATTTATCATCAATAAGCATTAGTTTAATATAATTTATATAAATTTATATAATGTTATTAAGTTTGTACCTTGAACATTAAATAAACCTTTCATTTTATGGATTGAGGGAGATCTGTCATAAAAATGAGTTAAATATAAAGCCCTTAAGGAAAAAAGACCATTTGAATATATAGTGATATTCATCAACAACTTCATTATGATCTCATAATGTACAGATTCTATTGTCTTTAAGTATAGGTTTGTAAATGATTGTCAACGCCTGTGGTCAAATAGATATAAACAACGATGTCTGGTTGGCTAAGACAACCTGCACATGTCATGTTATTGGGCTAAATCTCTTTGTTAAGGCCAGCTCAATTTTAGTCAAGGTCTTTGAGATGTAAATAAGGTTAGCGCACGTGATTGTATGCGAGATTGTAGGTTAGGGTAAGCATTGGGGCTAGATCCAGGGTTAGGGTTCGGATTAGCACTAGCCCTGTTTACATCTCCTAATTTTTGACGAAAAATTGAGCTGGCCTTATCCACCTAGCACTAACCATCAATATTGCGATATTAACCTCCATGCATATTTCACTAGCGGCTGCCAGGCAGGATACGCCCACATTTTCGAGAGATTGATAGAGAACAAGCTAACAAGAAAGTGATTTTTCCTACAATCAAGGGCCATAATTCAGGAAATTACAATTCGATATGCGGGAATATCGAAAGGAACTGAGATCTTTGTGTTATAAACTCACATTTCAAGTTTCAACAAAATCGGATAAAAATTGTGACCTCTATAGGGTCCACAACCATGATATACCATATTTTTACGCTATTTGAGAACAAACGGCGGCCATTTTGTCTGTCAATTTTGGGCCGATTTTCACAAAATTTTGAACTCAGCTGTCCTTAGGGTGTAACGGTGATATAATAATACGGTTTTTTAAATTGGATAAAAAATTATGACCTCTATAGGGCCCACAAGCTAACAACGTGATTTTTTGTACAATCAGGGGCCATGCGCGAATATCGAAAGGAACTGAGATCTTTGTGTTATAAACTTACATTTCAAGTTTCAACAAAATCGGATAAAAATTGTGACCTCTATAGGGTCCACAACCTTGATATACCATAATTTGACGCTATTTGAGTACGAACAGCGGCCATTTTGTCTGTCAATTTTGGGCTGATTTTCACGAAATTCAAACTCAGTCGTCCTTAGGGTGTAACGGTGATATAATAATACAGTTTTTTAATCGGATAAAAATTATGACCTCTATAGGGTCCACAAGCTAAAAACGCGATTTTTCGTAACAAGCTTACAAGAAAGTGATTTTTCCTACAATCAAGGGCCATAATTCAGGAAATTACAATTCGATATGCGGGAATATCGAAAGGAACTGATAAAATCGGATAAAAATTGTGACCTCTATAGGGTCCACAACCTTGATATACCATTATATAAATTTATATAATTTTATCAAGTTTGTACCTTGAACATTAAATAAACCTTTCATTTTATGGGTTGAGGGAGATCTGTCATAAAAATGAGTTAAATATAAAGCCCTTATGGAAAAAAAGACTATTTGAATATATAGTGATATTCATCACCAACTTTATTATGGTCACATAATGTACAGAAGATTCTATTGTCTTTAAGAATGTGTTTTTAAATGATTGTCAACGCCTGTGGCCAAATAGACACACTCGGCAAACCTTGGCAGATACCGGTACCCTACATCTAGCCTCGGCTGTATGACAGTAAGTGATATGTACCTACGCCTATACATTTGCGATGCGGCACCGGTTTACTTATAAGGGAAACTTGCCCGCGTTTAGAAAGAAGTTCTCAAAATTGCGTCGTTCGAAGAGTGTGTAGAATTTTCAGTGCAAATTTGTCCTTGAATCTATTTATTGTGTAATATATAAAATTACTCACTCTCGGAAGAAGTTGTACATCCAGCATCAGCCGGCTGTTCACATCTTGAGTCCTGAACACTCCAGTGTAGGCCACTAGCGCAGGTTTGTTCAACTAGAACTCCGTTGGAACATTGTAGAAATTTGTTACAGTCAGTCGAATGTGGATGATATTCCCCATTTTCGCATGCTGCTACGGCATCAATCACAAATAGAGCTAAATACAAAATCAAATAATTAGAGGTCTTACGGGTCTGAATACAAAGCAAGATTATCGCAGTAAATATAAACAACCGATGAAATTTCTTGCAGCATTACTACTAGTAAAACAGGGAGAGAGAGAAATGGGGTTTAACGTCCACTAGACACAAACTAGGTCATTTCTGGACTAACATATGGTTCAATTTTCAATAATTCGCTTGCGCGAAGGTGTCTTTAGCAGTGGGAGGAAACCTGAGGACCCGGAGAAAACCCACGAGGTTGGACAGGCGACCCTACTCCTTGTCACGTATAACCGGGGATTCGAAACCACGGCAGTTGACTCAATGACAGACCTTATGATACAGCGTACACATGCTAACCATGCGCCCCCCCCCCCCCTAGTAAAACAGTGAATTTGAGGGATTCTGCACAAATATGCCAACATTTCTTTTTTTAAAGGGGGGGGGGGCGCAGTGACTTAGTCGGCAAGGCACTGACACACTAACCAGGATGTCTGAGGGTTCAAATCTGATGTTGGTCGAGAAAGTTCCTTGAGATATTTCAACGACAGTTTACCTTCTCAGTGTTTGAGGACGTAGGGCCTACTAAGGCCAGTATTGAGTCGTGCGGATGGGACAAACAACCAAGGTTCTTTGTTGGCGTACATTTAAAAGACCATTTGACAGGTGGAATTTTGATATAACAGTAGTCCGTAGCGCTCCTATCCGGGTATCATTTCCCTCTGGCGTATGCCGTGCACATGTCTGTATTAGCCCAGTCAGTGGAGCAGGACGTTAAACATTATTCCATTTGAAATCTTTGATATGGTTTAATGCTAAAAAATATCGCTTTAACAATTGACCACTAGAGAGCAATTTTAAATAAAAATATCGAAATTATAAAACTAAAATTTTAAATAGAAAAGTTGAAATTTTAAATAGAAAAATTGAAATTTTAAATAGAAAAATTGAAATTTCAAATAGAAATATTGAAATTTTAAATAATAAAATTGAAATTCTAAATTTTAAATACACAAGATTGAAATTTTAAATAAACAACATTGAAATTTTAAATAAACAAAATTGAAATTTTAAATAAACAAAATTGAAACTTGAAGCGATGACATAACAAACACATTAATCAGTAATTTTGTGATATCAAGGTGTATAAATGGTTGAATGTTCCCAATATTTTACAGATGAAATTTTGCTATTTTGTAGATGTTAGACACGTGAATTTTCATATTGAGTGTCATGTCAAAATATACACCAAGATTTTTAACACAATATGTTGGTGGTGTAGGGAGTAAACGGCCATTTAATTAGGGATACTGCATCACATAATGTGTTGCGTAGACGTTCAAGGTGCAAAAGACATGGGAATATTTGCTATAAAGGCTTTACTTTGCATAAAACCACAAGGTTAATAGAATATAAATGGAAAATTGAATACAAGTATTATATTTACATAAAACATCAAATTCTTAATAAGACTGACAAAATTCAAAAATGTAATTGAAGGGAGACAACTGGCTTTAAGTAAAAGCGATCATTAATGTAAACAAATCCTTCCATGCCATGACAAAATGTAACACAGATGCGACTGACAAGGCTATGACACACAATAATGTGAAATAAATATTACACATGATACAACTACTGTGTTGTATGCCCCTATACTGGCTGACAATGACAAAATACTGACAAGACAATACTGGTTGGTACTCGAATGACAATGTCAATATTATTATAAAACTGACAACGATAAGACCAAAATGACTGCCAAAGTTACAATTGCATGGTGCGTTTTCTTTTAGCAGGAAAATAAGAGTCACAACTCACATATGACTCTTTGTGGCTAATCATAAATTTATGAACATAAGTAATAGTGAGACCAAAAATAAAAAAATAAAATTATAATTAAAATGAACAATAAAAATTACTTTTAAGGTTTTCTGGCCATAACAGGTGGAATATTTTCGGGCGCGGTTTCCCATTATCAATCATTGGTGCTGGGCGGGGTGCCACGTACACATTGGCGTGCACGTAAAAGATCCCTTGGCAGTTGGAATTCGATATAAGAGTAGGCCTAAAGCGCCGCTGTCCGGGCAATATTTGCCTCATAGCACACTGTGTATGGCGTAGAACGGTAAACCCCATTTCATTTCTTTATTGTCCCGCCGCTGAAACGCACTGGTTACGAGATATCGCTCTCAGAAACTTCCTGGAGACCAAAATATTAAATTATGTGAATTACGTCATTTCGCCGTGACCGACTTCGGCCGAATTTGGGTATGAATCCAACTGCGCATTGGTTTCTTTTGCAATTTGTTTCGGGTCAATTCACGTTAGAGATTAACTTGCCCCGCCTAGTTAGCGAGCCAGCGTATTACTCACTGAGCCACCGTGACTCACTGTAATACTGTCTCTTAAATATCCTGTAAAGGTTCATAGAACTGAAAGCGTTAGCCAAAAATATTCAGATTGTTTTTTTTTAAATTTAAACACCTCACCGTAAATTATGAAGTTCAGCATGATGACGCTGTATTGAGTACACATCGATTTTTGTCTTGTTGGTGATTGTCCCCGATTCTATTTAAGTCATTGTAAATGTCAATCATATTTAATTGTCCAATCATAAGAGGCCCGTCTTTAAAATCAATTTTTGTAAACTGTCAAACTAATTGAAGTTGGAATCAAACGTAGTTATATATTTAATTCTATAGCCCCTCCTTCTAGATCTACATTAGCTATTCTTTTCTGGGGCGCAAATGTATGGTATGGCTGGGGGGGGGGGGGAGGTTATACTCGCAAAAATAGTCGGTCGCAATATAAGTGCCGTCGGTCGCAAAATTATGCATCAGCGACTAAAGGAATTTATTGGGGTAAACAATTCCATTAAATACACATTAGCTAAGAGCTAAAGCTGCCTATTGCAAGTCTTTCTTTAGGATTCAGATGTTATAGAAATTATTAATTAGACCTTAATTTACATGACTAGCTCAAAATCAACTATGTAGACCCTCGGATGGTTAAAACAACAGTATACAAAACATACACATACATCAATATACATGTATTCAAAAATATATTTTACATGGAATAATATACTCTTCAAAAAAAAAGTAGGGGATATTGAAATGCAAGTTCCTATGCAGGTTGTGATATGATAAATAGTCATGGACACTTGACATGCTTTGAGAGTATGTTCACAGATTAAGAACTTATCGCCCCAACAGAACCACTGAGCTGCATGTGCGACACGCGATAGCGCCATACACGTTGGAGGGGTTCATTGTCAAATTTGACACTTCAAGGAAGGGCTGATGAAAACTGCCGCTTGCTGGTTTATCCTATCCATGTTTGCTTTCCTATCGGTTCTTGCATACGATTTACTGTTTTGCGTATCTTTGCTTTAGTGTGTTACGTTTAATTTGATCGGGAGACGTGTTCGTCGACGTAAACGGACAACATTACAAGAATTGTCTGTGGCACTGCAAGAGGAGTGGGTCAGATTGCCCCAAATCGTGATTGGACGGTTGATTAGGAGCATGCCATGACGAATTGCTGAATGTCTGACGATTGGTGGAGCAATTACTCATTATTAAGACAAAAATCAAAAACGTCCATTTTCACTTTTGACAGTGTATCTCTTTGCGAGTGAAATGGGACCGTCAGATAAGCCGCCGATATGAACTGTTTATGTTCATGTGTAGGCAATTGGCCTGTTATTAACATAGCAATTTTGTATTGTTTCTGAATATCCACTACTTTTTTTGAAGAGTATATATTGGAATAACATGATATAATGAAATGAAAATATAATGAGATATATACATGTACCATTTGGATGATACAATGAAAATATAGCAATGAAAGTATAACAATGAAATGAAAATATGAAGTATAACCTCGTACATACATGTATAATGATCAAATATGGAGTAAGAACATGCAGCAGAAAAATAGACTAGGCCGGTGCTCCCCTTTCCTTAAAAGCATGATAGGTATACATTGCTACTGCTTTAGCAAGAACATCTGGGGTGGTTTATTAAGTTTTTAAACAGACCATACGTTCTCAGTTTGGTTCCTGATTTAGTTAATTCTGCAAAATGATGGTTAAATTGTTTGAAGTTTTAGTTTATGAGGGAGATCCATTACGCACGCGGTAATGATGTTGAGCTGAAGGAGTATTAGGACAATTTTCATGATTTGTGTTTCTACAGTCCAGTTTCAGTTTGGTACGAATATTCGCTTGACGAATAGAATATTAGAATAGCAATCACTATATTCGAATATCTACATTATTTATTCTATTTTTTCTCAAATAGTATTTATTAAAGACGACTTTCCTTGTTTCATTTACAGTCGAAGGCCTACTGTCGTCAGAGACGGATCGTCTTCAGGGACAGTTATTTGGTAGGAGCTTGTTACCTACTTTATAACCAGTAAGTGGTCCAGGTATGATAATATTAATGCGGGCAGTTGCTGTAATACAAATGCGGAACACGGTTTATGGTCGGTCTAGATGTATATTATCACCAAAAAACAAGCCCCAGTTCGAAATCCGTGTCCAAATAAGTCAAATTCTGAAATTGGTCAATATTCTAAATGGTCACCGGTTTTGGCTTCAAAAATTCCAATTGTCACCCAATTACCATAATATGATCGATTTGGTATCAAAATATACATTTTCGGGGTAGCTGAATCCATGTCCATGCAAAGTTTTGTAATTAGTGATACCACTAAGTCAATATTGGGGGGGGGGGGGGGTCATTTTAGGCCTGTTTGGGCGGGAAATTTGAATTTTACACCAGGGGCCACTCCCAGCTCACTGCGGTATCAGCGTAGGGGGCGTGTCGACTGGACCACTCTCACGTCGATAACTAAACCAAGACGGCCACGTCTATTAAAGCCCGGGGCGAATTTATTTCACAAAATGATTTAAACTCGGAGTCGTCACTCGTCCTGTCTTGGCATGCCTACAAAATAGAGGTTGTGAGTTCTACTGTTTACCGATGTAACAGCGGGCCCTGATTTCTGTGATCTAATCGACCGTCTGCCAATCTTACATTTAAGACCATGTAAAAAGCAATCGTATGCAAAAACTTTGGCACCATGGACCTTATAAAAGTCGGTACAGACCAATCTACTCCCATAGCTTTACAACTTGTTTCAATATTAGTTGGCCGACAGTAATTTTTGCGATATTTCACATGGTATTCATCATATCTCAGCTTAGCCGCATTAATGCCTCCAATACCCGTTATTTTCGTGATGACGCTGGGCAGTTCAGTGTCTTAGACAGTGGCGGCGCCAGCCGTCGGTGATTGGAGGGGCAAAGCTGGGGCAAAGTCCAAGGTTAAGGGGGCAAAGGCACGAGCTTCAACTAGGGGTTGGGGGCCTCCCCCAGAAAATTTTGAAAAACAGGTTGCCGGAAATGCAGCCTGGCAGTATTTCAGGCACTGATCGATGAGGTAAAGTGTCAAACGAACGGACTTGCGAATCACGACGAAGCCCACTCACGAGCGTCAAAGTAGGCAGTCCTCCCCCAGAAATTTTTGAAAAATAGACTGCCGGAAACGCTGTCTTACAGTATTCTGTCAGGCACCGATCGTCGAGATAAATAGATCTGCCCAGATACCGTTCGTCGCCTGATCACTAGTTTATCCGACTAGAGAACAAAACAAACGAACGGACTTGCGAACCTCAACGAATTCCCATTGTGAGCGCCAAAGTAGCAAGTCCATTGGGGACCTCGCCAAGAAAATTTTGAAAAATAGACTGTCGGAAAAGCTCTACAACATGCAAGTTTATGACTGTGTGGGGATGTGGGATTTATTCACCGTAGAAGGTATTGATTACCGAAACGTATCGCAAATACTTATTTTTATTTCCTAAAATTATTGGGGGGCAAACAGAGGGCAGACCAGATTAACGGGGGGGGGGGGGGGATGCCACCTCCCCCCTTGCCCCCCCCCCTGGCGCCGCCACTGGTCTTAGAGTTCATTGCATATCTATGGAAGGGTATCGCTGCCAATATTAAATGCTCTGCTAAAATGTCTTTTCCATTGATTATATATATGTAAAAAGTACAATGTACATGTCCTAAAACCGGTAATGATGAAGTCAAAATACCTCTAAGGTCAAAGTTAAATATAAAACGTCAAATGTTATGTGTCAAATGACAAATGTTTGATTGGAAAAGGCTGTCTTTTGGCGTGTCTACATTTTACATTTCCCTCATCACATCTAACATTTGCGTTTTGCCGCATTTCATTTGATCTTCACGCTTTCTACATAGCATCTTACGCAGAACACTATGATATGCAAATATAGGATATCACGTGACTTATTAACATATACGGAAAGCCAGCACACAATAAGGGGAAATCAACCTGGCACACTATAAAATATTTACTTACCTTGAAAAAACAATCAAATTTGGATGGTACTAAACTATATTACCATGATTACGGATAGGGGGAGGGTATGCAATGTCCAAATACGGGTCATAATACGATATTCACAATATCATGTTACATATCAGTGAAAAGCACGTTAATGTATACTCTTTCTTCTCTTTAAGTAGCCTACATGTATATTCATTATTTGCTGGGCACAATGATTATACTTTTTTTTAAAAAAAATAGATTAAAGTTAATTAGCCTGTACTAAAATTTAGACAGAGGGTGTGGGGGCGGTGACTAGAGTTTAAAATGTCAAAAATACGGGTCTTAATACGAAGTTCCAGTTATCGTGTTATACATCACTGGAAAATATCAGTTATTTCCTGGCACATTCATAATTACGTACTTTAGAGAATAAAAGTCATCCTTGTTTTGTTGAAAGAAATGTGTCGCTGTCCGACAGTAACTAAATTGCTAAATATAGACTATACTGTCAATTTATGTTATTTGTCAAAGGCTGGGATTAGCCATACCAATCACATGATTTTATTGCAGGCACGGTCGCACACTGATCAGCAGTGAATATTAGCTAGGCGGCGACAATCACTGATAAAGATGACACCGATGCGACTTAATGAGCCACAAATATTAACTTTTTTCCTCCGAAAATGTGATGAGGGAAATGTCAAAAGTGGACACGTCAAAAAACAGCATTTTCCAATAAAACATTTGACATTTGACACATTGCATTTGACGTTTTACATTTAACTTTGGTCTTAGAGATATTTTGACTTTATCATTACCGGTATTAAGACTTTGTACATTGTACTTTTTACACGTAATCAATAGAATAGACATTTTAATATTGGCAGCGATACCCTTCCATACATATTGGGATCCATCGATGTCTCATCATTTGATTCATTTTGTCAAATTAATTCATTTAAAAGATAATAAAATTTATTTAAATAGATAAGAACAGTATGTTAGAATATAGAGATTAATTTGATATGAAGAGGTATGAAAATTAATGCAGAGGATAAAATCAATATTTTCAATATAAAGTTTAATTTAAAATGCAGTGAAATGAAAACTGATTAAAATGATAAGAAAAATATGTTCAATATAAAGATTATTATGAAATGCAATGAAATAAAAAGTAAAGAGCACAAAAATTGACCAAGCAAAATT